CACACATGATTTCCAAACATTTTGTTGTGAACCCAGAGATTGTTTTGCGAAACAAATCAGAGATTTTTTTGTATAAAATAATTGATTATTTTTTGTTTTCATTAAACCTATGAATTGAAATAAACACCGAAAATAAAATGAAATTTATTATAAACAGTTGCTAACAAATCATATAGAAATTAATATTTAATTCGCGAGATGTTTACTGTATCGGAAATTTTATTATTTATTTAATGTTTAAAACGGTTTCTCAATTCCGGACACAAACTTTTGAGCCAAAGATTAGTAATAAGAGTCTCATTGAAAGCATGTAAAAGAATATCTCAAATATTCAGAAGAAATACTTTCGACAGGATTTGTGACGATTTGTGTGAAGTATTGCTGTCTTACGAGACATTCACCGATTGTTTCCGTCACCAATCAGTCTCTAAACAGTTCCAGAGATTGATTTACAATACTGTCAGAGATATCCGAATTGATAGACAACTCATGAGACAAATGTATGTAAAGACAGAATCGGGTGAAGTTTACTTCTCAGATAATCGTATGGCTATTATTATGAGAAGTGTCCCAACATTCATGTCATTGACTGCTTGCATGTCAATCACGATTTGAGACAAGTGTTGGAAGCTATCGATCAGTTCAGAGACTATTGTCCCAACTTTAAGGAACTGTATCTCCGTATTGACGGTTTCGATGGTGACTCTCTTGGATTCATATGATTTGCATTTCCAGTGTTTGGCGAAATGATTACTCGTTTGGATGGAGTCTTTCTCAATGACAAACTATGTCTCCCTTTGTTTCTAAATCTGTCGCAATTGACTGTCAGAGACTTACCCGATGTCTTCGATTCCGATAACCAATTACTGGTCAAGGATTTAAAGACAATTAATTTTTCAGTGGATTTCACGATCAATATGGCAATGCGTGACATTCATCGCCGGTAATCAGTCTCTCAGACGACTTATTATACGAATGGAAACTGTCTTTCAATCGGAATCTTTCCACCAATTCATGAAACAATTGACAAAATTACAGAATTTATTTGAATTTAAAGTGTGTGTGGAGAGAATATTACTCGTATGGCTGGCCTCCCAACTCATCTAAAACAATGTCTCCCTTTTTGCCCAAATCTGTCGCAACTGGTTGTCTATGACTTACCCGATGTCTTCGATTCCGGGATCCAATTATTGGTCAAGAATTTACAGACAATTAAATTTGAAATTACTTTTACATTCAATGCCTCACTGTTTGACACATTCATAGCGTCCAATCAGTCACTAAAACGACTTATAATCAAAATTATGTTTTCGTTTTCCGAAGAAACTTACCTTCAATTCATGACACAATTGACACGATTTAAGAATTTATTTGAATTTAGTCTCACTTTCAGTAGAATCCGTTTCGATCACCACTTACTCACACATTCATTGTACGAGTCGTTCAAACAAATGGGCATAAAGTGTGTGTCACTCAAGAAGTTGTCACTCGGTTTGAAATCATCCCATCCATCACTCAACGACCAGATTATGGATTCCATACAACACTTCCAACGATTACAGCGCCTGGATTTAGATCTTACTATTTTGAGTGATGATAACATAGGCTTCAGTCATTGGGATTCATTTGATTCAATGAGTCGATGGCCACAAAGCATAGCACATTTAACACTAGAGTTGTATCCAATGAATAGAGAATTGATCGCAAAAATTAACACAATCTTACCGCACCTCCAATTTGTGGACATCACTGTCGCATTGGTTTCTGAAAATAGCTTTTCTTTGGATTCCTTCTCAAGATTACCACTCCTTCAGACACTTATTCTCCATAGTAGTGATGCCATTGTAGTAACTCTTAAGGATGTGATTGCAATATACAAGAAGTGCCACAAACTTAGACATATAGGGGAAGTTCATTGAGAATAGTGCCATAATATGATATTCATTTATTATTTCATAATTTATTTTATAAAATACAAGTCTATTTAATATTAAACATGGAATGTGATTATATTTTTCAAATAATTTTTAATATTGAATCGCTATTGAATAGTCTATTCACATATTTAACAGAAAATAATAATTGCATTGAATTATTTTTACCAAAACTATACTTTGCTATACATTATAAAATAAGAATATTTTTAAAATTTAATATTTATTTTAGAATTAATCATAAAATAAATGTCTAAAAGCTTTAATCATTCAAAAGGGACGGTGTGTCCACTGAGCGCCGCCATCGACCGGAAATATACAACCGGTAATGAAGGAGGCGGACTGGGATGAGGCCAGGAATGTGACGACATCGGCCACGTCTACCGGTTCCCCAATACGTCTCATCGGGTAAATAGTGGCGCAAAACTTCTCAAACTCTAACCACTTATCACCTAACGATGTCTCCACGAGTGCCGTACGAATAACACCCGGACTATTGTGGGGGTGGAAGGGGTGTGGTTTGTGTTGAACAAAACCTAATTGCATATTCATATGATGTAGCCTTACCTCACACAATTGACCCGTATCCCTTTGGGGCCCAACTCGAGTGCCATACATTTGGTAAACATATTGAGCGCATTCTTAGCCATACTATAAGCCATCGCTTTTGGCATCTGTTTTATACCCCATATGTGACACAAATTTGAATATTTGATTAAATGTTTTAAAAATTATTTACCGGTTGTTCTCCGCCTACACTCGACATGTTAATGATATTGCCTTTACTTTGCTCCAGATATGGCACCACTAATCGGGTCAACACCTGAACACTCCTGAGGTTTATATCAAACATTTGATCAAAACTTTTAATATAATCATTGGACGAGTATGTTAATGATATTGCCTTTACTTTGCTCCAGATATGGCACCACTAATCGGGTCAACACCTGAACACTCCTGAGGTTTATATCAAACATTTGATCATAACTTTTAATATAATCATTGGACGAGAAATTAATTGGAAGCGTATGACCCGCGTTATTGACCAGAATATCTATTCTACCAAATTCTTTGAGAGTAGTATTCACTAAATTCTTGACATCACTCTCAACCTGGATGTCAGCCACCACTCCAAGTGTTCTCCGTATGGACAGAGATTCACACCTTTTGATCACAGAATTGATCTTATTTTGATCCCTTCCGGTGATGACTACATGTGCGCCCAGAGATGACAACTTAATGGCAATCTGTGCGCCGATTCCCGATGATGAGCCTTCAATGAATTTATAAAACACACAAATTTAAAGCTAATGTTTTCCTTAATAAAATACATATAAGATAAACCTGTTATGAGAGCTACTCTCCCTTCAAAATCCATTGAGATTTTATTGTTGTATAGTATACTGTATTTAATATTATATTATAAATTTTAATACTCTAATAAAATGTAATATAACTATTTTTATCTAATATTTCCAAACTACAATAGATACATAAAGTTTTGTGAACAAATTCAATAAAATAATTACCAAATATATTAAAATGCAAATTCATTGAAATAACAAATTATGAAAATGAAATGATTTGCAAATATTTATAATAAATAAGCATACAAATTAATAATTAACACTTGAAAATAGCTAATACGATTGCTTATTAATAGTCATTAAAATGTCTCTTACATATAATTTCAGTGGAAAGGTAGCCTTAATCACAGGCTCAAGCTCAGGTATCGGTGCAGCGGTAGCTGTATTAATGGCCAGATATGGAGCCACCGGTGTTGTGGTCACAGGTCTGGACGGGGATGATGTGAGAAAAGTGGCAAAAGATTGCATTAATGTATCACCAAATGGTATGAAACCACTGGAAATGATTACAGACTTTCGCCGGGAGGCAGACATCCGACAACTGGTTGACACCACAATCGATACGTTCGGACGGATAGATATTTTGGTGAACAGCGCCGGTATGGCTGCGGATGCTTTCATAACAGACACGGATTATGTAGCAAAACAACGGCTCCTTTTTGATGTAAACCTCAATTCTGTGGTCCTTTTGACTCATTATTGTGTCAAACATTTGGAGAAAACTAATGGAAATATTGTTAACATATCGAGTACTGGAGGCTTACAACCGGTTAATATTTAGCATATTTTATTAATTTATAAAATTTTTTATTATATTTAATTTATTATTGTGATTCAACAAAATATTCTTGAACCGATTCTTGAATTCTTTACAAAATAATTAGCTAAAATACAACATAATATTAAATCAATTATAACTTATACAATTCTGTATAATCTGTGATCATTGTGTTTTAATATTTAATTTATTTTAACCAGGCAAAACTTGTATCATCGTATAGCATGTCAAAAGCAGCTCTAAATATATTCACTCAATGTATGGCACTTGAATTGTTTCTGTATAATCTGTGATTATTGTGTTTTAATATTTAATTTATCTCAACTAGGCAAAACTCGTATCATCGTATAGCATGTCAAAAGCAGCTCTAAATATATTCACTCAATGTATGGCACTTGAATTGGGAGGGAAAGGTATTCGTGTTAACGCAGTCATGTATGTTTGAATATTTTTAGTTAATATTTATAGTTCATAACATTTTAGTAAATCATTGAAATTCTATTAAACTATTAAAATATATTTTTATTTCCGGTTAATTTAGTCCGAGTTTAGTGGACACAAACATAGCCCGGGCGGGAACGGTAGATGTTCAGCGTTGGTTTCGGTCCAACTTAGAAAGGGCTGCCATGGAGTTGCCAGTGGGCCGGTACGGTCAGCCCATAGACATCGCAAATGCCATTATTTATCTCGCCAGTGACCATGCTACTTTCGTAACAGGCTCTATTATGTTAGTAGATGGGGGACATATAGCTGGCAGAATTAAAAAACAGTTGTAATAATTATTGTTTATTTAACATGTATAAATGATACAAGTTACTTCTTTAAGAAAGTTAATATTACTAAATATTACTAAAAAGTTTCATATTTTAAATATTTAAAAAAGTAATCTTGTAGAAAATATATAATAAAAATTAGTTTTTTTGTGACAATAATTCAATATAAATATTATATAAGTTAATAAATAGTATAAATAAAAATGCCTAGTTTAAAATTAAATTCCTAAAATAATAAATTAGTACATTTAATTAAGCGTAACTTTATTGTTTTTAAACATGCTCAAAAATACTATTATAAATCCACAACATAGATAATTAGCTGAATACAGTATTTACAATTCATTCACAATTCTGTTCATTCAGACCATAAGCAATGAAACATTTATTTTTTAACACGATATGCGGCACAATGTTCAGTACGGAAGTCTGGGCTGAACTTGAACTTCAAGTTTGATAAAACATTTTTATTTTGACTTGTTTTCCGTATAGTGTACACAAATTGTACAATAAGTCATACTGTAGTTGCGTTGAGTTGATGAACAGGCCATACCCACCAAAACACCGGTCCCTTCCCTCCTCAACCACATCATATGGTGACCCGTTTCTGGAGGGCATTGATGTATACGAAAATTATTTTCATTTTAAAGTTAACGCACTCTTCTTAAGGTATAATACTCTGGATTACAGTGTATTCTCTATATATTACAATTTTATTAAATATACAAAATACAAAATTATTTAAATATTTAAAAACTTTATTTGTGAAAAGAATTTTTTTAAATTCTTAAATAGTGTACACTATAATAAATTTGACAGATATTTAAATATTTGAAAAAGTCTTTGACGGTAAGGATGAGTTGAAACACAGGTTATGAAAAATAATTGTTTAACTCTTAAGTGTCAGATCTCTAGTTCAATAACTTTTTTCTGTTCATAACTTTTGGACTAACGTTTGAGAGATTATTTTGATTGTATCACTAATTTTGACAACACCAAATATTATTGATTATATAAAAAACTTTATCAATGTTTAGGGAAATATGGATATATTAAACATGGATTGTGTGATCAAAATACTGACTCACCTGCCGGTGCGGGACCGGCAAAGCAGTGGACGGGTATCCACAGTGTGGAAGTCATCAGCGGATCACTTGTTTGCGGCCCAAAAGAATCTGCGGTTTGTGTCGCGACTTCAAAGTCATCGTTTGAAATGTGATAATACTTACGATACAATCGTATGGCCGACTAATTATATCAAATACACCACCTATTGTGAACTGATCCAACGGTTCCCTAATCTCAAGTCACTCGCATTTGTGGGGTTCGACCACTGGAACGACCCCATCATTAATCAGTTGATAACCTCGTGTCCGGCGCTAACGGTTCTCGAGTTTATATATTGTGATGGTTTAGGTATTGTATTATAAGTTATTACATAATTATCTAATCTATTAATACAGTAATTGAGATAAACTTTGCATTAGGTTCAATATAAATATTTAATAAATTGATATAAACATAGATAAGTAACTTTAAATCATTATTCATTGTCAGTAAAAAAGTATTTTGTTTTTGTATAAAAGTTTTATTCAAAGAAATTCTAATGATTTGTTATTTATCATGCTTTAAAACAATTTATTTTTATTGTCATGTATAATAACTATTTTATGATATGTCTTATTAAAATTACTATTTATAAATTATTATTCATAAACTAATAATAATATTCCTGATAATAGGGTTCATTTTAAGAGCTATTCACAAAACTCCTGTTCAATTACTTTATAAAATAATAATTTATTAATCATAGGTTTATTAATTTAATAATAAACAAAATAATTTATTTAATTATTTTCTAAATCCAATAGCATTGTAGTTTCATTTTGTATTAAATAGAAAAACAATTTAAAATTTCTATACAACTTATAATCATTAACTAAAATATAATTATAATGATTTGATATAATAGTTTATATCATTTATGCCGCCTATGATATAATTATTTAATAATAGTTTATAGAAAAAAATAAATAAATTACAAAACAATTTCCTTAAAGATTAAAACAATGAGAATGAGTGACACTTTTGATGATAATTTTGATGACATGTGATAATAGGCCGGAACC